ACCCCCACAGAAGATCTCGCCGTACTCACCTCACTCTACTGGTGGTCGTTCCTGGTTCACCCGTCTCACCCGTCTCTCACCCCCACAGAAGCATCTCGCCGTACTCACCTCACTCTACTGGTGGTCGTTCCTCCTGGTTCACCTGTCTCTCACCCGTCTCTCACCCCCAAAGCATCTCGCCGTACTCACCTCACTCTACTGGTGGTCGTTCCCAGTTCACCCGTCTCTCACCCGTCTCACCCTCTCACCCCCACAGAAGCATCTCGCCGTACTCACCTCACTCTACTGGTGGTCGTTCCTCCTGGTTCACCTGTCTCTCACCCGTCTCTCACCCCACAGAAGCATTCCGCCGTACTCACTACTCTACTGGTGGTCGTCTCCTGGTTCACCCGTCTCACCTGCCCTCACCCCCCACAGAAGCATCTCGCCGTACTCACCTCACTCTACTGGTGGTCGTTCCTCCTGGTTCACCTGTCTTCACCCGTCTCACCCCCACAGAAGCATCTCCTGCCGTACTCACCTCACTTACTGGTGGTCGTTCCTCCTGGTTCACCTGTCTCACCCGTCTCTCACCCCGAAGCATCTCGCCGTACTCTACCTCACTCTACTGGTGGTTGTTCCTGGTTCACCTGTCTCACCCGTCTCTCACCCCCCACAGAATATCTCGCCGTACTCACTCATTACTGGTGGTTGTCCTCCTGGTTCACCTGTCTCACCCGTCTTCACCCCACAGAAGCATCTCGTACTCACTCACTCTACTGGTGGTCGTTCCTCCTGGTTCACCTGTCTCTCACCCGTCTCTCACCCCCAGAAGCATCTCGCCGTACTACCTCACTCTACTGGTGGTCGTTCCTCCTGGTTCACCCGTCTCTCATCTCTCTTCTCTCACCCCCAAGCATCCTGTACTCACCCCTCACTCTACTGGTTGTCGTTCCTCCCAGTTCACCGTCTCTCACCCGTCTCTCCACCCCACAGAGCATCTCGCCGTACTCACCTCACTCTACTGGTGGTCGTTCCTCCCAGTTCACCGTCTCTCACTCTCTCACCCAGAAGCATCCGCCGTACTCACCTCACTCTACTGGTGGTCGTTCCTCCTGGTTCACCCGTCTCTCACCCGTCTCTCACCCCCACAGAAGCATCTCCTTGCCTCACCTCACTCTACTGGTTGTCGTTCCTCCAGTTCACCGTCTCTCACCGTCTCTCACCCCGTCTCTCACCCCCGAAGCATCTCACCTGTACTCACCTCCACTCTACTGGTGGTCGTTCCTCCTGGTTCACCCGTCTCTCACCGTCTCTCACCCCCACAAGCATCTCATGGTACTCACCTCACTCTACTGGTGGTCGTTCCTCCTGGTTCACCGTCTCTCACCGTCTCACCCCCACAAGCATCTCGCCGTACCCCTCCCACTCTACGGTGGTCGTTCCTCCCGTTCACCGTCTCTCACCCGTCTCTCACCCCACAGAAGCATCTCGCCTGCACTCACCTCCACTCTACTGGTGGTCGTTCCTCCCGGTTCACCCGTCTCTCACCCGTCTCTCACCCGTCTCCACCCACAGAAGCATCTCGCCGCTCACCTCCTCTACTGGTGGTCGTTCCTCCTGGTTCACCGTCTCTCACCCGTCTCTCACCCCACAGAAGCATCTCGCCGTACCACCTCACTCTACTGGTGGTCGTTCCTCCTGGTTCACCGTCTCTCACCGTCTCTCACCCCACAGAACATCTCGCCGTACTCACCTCACTCTACTGGTGGTCGTTCCTCCCGGTTCACCTCTCTCTCACCCGTCTCTCACACCCCCCACAAGCATCTCGCCGTACTCACCTCACTCTACTGGTTGTCGTTCCTCCCCAGTTCACCCGTCTCTCACCCATCTCTCCTCACCCCACAAGCATCTCGCCGTACTCACCTCACTCTACTGGTGGTCGTTCCTCCCGGTTCACCATCCTCCTCACCCGTCTCACCCCCACCAAAGCATCTCACCTCCCTCACTCTACTGGTGGTCTGTTCCTCCTGGTTCACCGTCTCTCACCGTCTCTCACCCCACACAGAAGCATCCCGCCGTACTCACCTCACTCTACTGGTGGTCGTTCCTCCCAGTTCACCCGTCTCTCACCGTCTCTCACCCCCACAAAGCATCTCGCCGTGCCCACCTCCTCTACTGGTGGTCGTTCCTCCTGGTTCACCGTCTCTCACCGTCTCTCACCCCCCACAGAAGCATCTCCGCCGTACTCACCTCCTCTACTGGTGGTCGTTCCTCCTGGTTCACCGTCTCTCACCCGTCTCTACCCCCAGAAGCATCTCGCGTACTCACCTCCCACTCTGGTGGTCGTTCTCCTAGTTCACCCGTCTCTCACCCGTCTCTCACCCCCACAAGCATCTCGCCGTACTCACCTCCTCTACTGGTGGTCGTTCCTCCCAGTTCACCGTCTCTCACCCGTCTCTCACCCACAAAGCATCTCCCTGTACTTACCTCCTCTGCGTGGTCGTTCCTCCTGGTTCACCGTCTCTCACCCGTCTCCTCACCCCACAGAACATCTCGCCGTACTTACCTCCACTCTACTGGTGGTCGTTCCTCCTGGTTCACCCGTCTCTCACCCTCTCTCACCCCCACAGAAGCATCTCGCCGTACTCACCTCACTCTACTGGTGGTCGTTCCTCCTGGTTCACCGTCTCTCACCGTCTCTCACCCCCACAGAAAGCATCTCGCCGTACTCACCTCACTCTACTGGTGGTCGTTCCTCAGTTCACCCGTCTCTCACACCCGTCTCTCACCCCCCACAGCATCCATCTACTCACCTCCTCTACTGGTGGTCGTTCTCCAGTTCACCTTTGCATCTCTCACCCGTCTCTCACCCCACACATCTCCTCCTCACCTCCCACTCTCTACTTGGTCGTTCCTCCCAGTTCACTCTCTCCCCTCTCACCCGTCTCTCACCCCACAAGCATCTGCATACTCACCTCACTCTACTGGTGGTCGTTCCTCCCAGTTCACCGTCTCTCCCCATCTCTCACCCCACAGAAGCATCTCGCAGTACTCACCTCACTCTACTGGTGGTCGTTCCTCCCAGTTCACCCGTCTCTCACCCTCTCTCACACAGAAGCATCTCGCCGTACTCACCTCACTCTACTGGTGGTCGTTCCTCCTGGTTCCTCGTCTCTCACCGTCTCACCCCAAAACATTCTCGCCGTACTCACCTCCCTCTACTGGTGGTCGTTCCTCCCAGTTCACCGTCTCTCCCGTCTCTCACCCGTCTCTCACCTCTCTCACCCCAGAAGCATCTCCGTGCTCACCTCTACTGGTGGTCGTTCCTCCTGGTTCACCGTCTCTCACCCGTCTCTCACCCCACAGAAGCATCTCGCCGTACTCACCTCACTCTACTGGTGATTTCCTCCGTTCACCGTCTCTCACCCATCTCACCCGTCTCTCACCGTCTCTCACACCCCACAAAGCATCTCGCCGTACTCACCTCCTCTACTGGTGGTCGTTCCTCCCAGTTCACCCGTCTCTCACCCGTCTCTCACCTCTCTCACCCGTCTCTCACCCCCACAAAGCATCTCGCCGTACTCACCTCCTCTACTGGTGGTCGTTTCCTCCCAGTTCACCCGTCTCTCACCGTCTCTCACCCCACAAGCATCTCGCCGTACTCACCTCACTCTACTGGTGGTCGTTCCTCCTGGTTCACCGTCTCTCACCGTCTCTCCACCCCACAAGCATCTCGCCGTACTCACCTCACTCTACTGGTGGTCGTTCCTCCTGGTTCACCCGTCTCTCTACGTCTCTCCACCCCACAGAAGCATCTCCTTGCTCACCTCACTCTACTGGTGGTCGTTCCTCCTGGTTCACCCGTCTCTCACCGTCTCTCACCCCACAAGCATCTCGCCGCCTCCTCACCTCACTCTACTGGTGGTCGTTCCTCCTGGTTCACCGTCTCACCGTCTCTCACCCCCACAGAAGCATCTCGTGTACTCACCTCACTCTACTGGTGGTCGTTCCTCCCGGTTCACCCGTCTCTCACCGTCTCTCACCCCCACAAAGCATCTCGCTGTACTCACCTCACTCTACTGGTGGTCGTTCCTCCTGGTTCACCGTCTCTCACCCGTCCTCTCACCCCACAGAAGCATCTCATCGTACTCACCTCCCTCTGGTGGTCGTTCCTCCTGGTTCACCGTCTCTCACCCGTCTCCACCCCCACAGAACTTCTCGCCGTACTCACCTCACTCTACTGGTGGTCGTTCCTCCTGGTTCACCCATCTCTCACCGTCTCTCACCCCACAGAAGCATCTCGCCGTACTCACCTCCCACTCTACTGGTGGTCGTTCCTCCTGGTTCACGTCTCTCTGCGTCTCTCACCCCACAGAGCATCTCACCTTACTCACCTCACTCTACTAAGTGGTCGTTCTCCCAGTTCACCGTCTCACCTCTCTCACCCGTCTCTCACCCGTCTCTCACCCCCACAGAACATCTCGTACTCACTCACCTCACTCTACTGGTGGTCGTTCCTCCTGGTTCACCCGTCTCTCACCCGTCTCTCACCCCCACAGAAACATCTCGCCGTACCACCTCCCACTCTACTGGTGGTCGTTCCTCCTGGTTCACCGTCTCTCCCGTCTCACCCCCCACAAAGCATCTCGCCGTGCTCACCTCACTCTACTGGTGGTCGTTCCTCCTGGTTCACCCGTCTCTCACCCGTCTCTCACCCCCACAAGCATCTCGCCGTACTCACCTCCCACTCTGGTGGTCGTTCCTCCTGGTTCACCCTCTCTCATCTCTCACCCCCACAGAAGCATCTCGCCGTACTCACCTCACTCTACTGGTGGTCGTTCCTCCTGGTTCACCGTCTCTCACCCGTCTCCTCACCCAGAAACATCTCGCCGTACTCACCTCACTCTCTACTGGTGGTCGTTCTCCTGGTTCACCCGTCTCTCACCGTCTCTCCCCCCCACAGAAGCATCTCCGTACTCACCTCCACTCTACTGGTGGTCGTTCCTCCCAGTTCCACCCACTGAGGGTCAGGGGTCTACCTGCTACTGACGGTGTCTTGGGGCCACTACAGGAAGGTCACACCTGGATATTACCTGTAGTGTGGCTGGGGGTGTGCCTCCTCCTGATCTACTGTGGCAGAGAGGTCATCAGGTAAGGTGTGGTGGAGGGTGGCTGGCATGTGTGTGTGTGTGTGTGTGGTGTGGGTGTGTGTGTGTGGGTGGGTGTGTGGGTGGGTGGGTGGCTGTGTGTGGTGGGTGGGTGGTTGTGGTGGGTGTGGTGTGTGTGTGGGTGGCTGTGTGTGTGTGTGTGGGTGGGTGGCTGTGTGTGTGTGGGGGGCTGTGTGTGTGTGTGGTGGTGTGTTGTGTGTGGGTGTGTGTGTGTGTGTGTGTGTGTGTTGTGTGTGTGTGTGTGTGTGTGTGTGTGTGTGTGTGTGTGTGTATTTGTCTATCTATATAATCCAAATTCTAAATCTCTCTCTCTCTCTCTCTCTCTCTCTCTCTCTCTCTCTCTCTCTCTCTCTCTCTCTCTCTCTCTCTACAGATCCTCGACTCAACGATAGAATCCCGAACGAGCTCGCTAACGACCAACCAACTACGGATACTCAAACTAGACAGGTCTTACCATAACAGCCAATTGGTTTGTTTAGCTTCCAATAACAACGTAACGGAACCACTTCAAGCTACCATTACTGTTACCTTGAACTGTGAGTGTTATGATGCCCTTAAACAAGCATATTTACCTCTAGGTGCCCTTAAACAAGCATATTTACCTCTAGGTGCCCTTAAACAAGCATATTTACCTCTAGGTGCCCTTAAACAAGCATATTTACCTCTTGGTGCCCTTAAACAAGCATATTTACCTCTAGGTGCCCTTAAACAAGCATATTTACTTCTTGGTGCCCTTAAACAAGCATATTTACCTCTAGGTGCCCTTAAACAAGCATATTTACCTCTTGGTGCCCTTAAACAAGCATATTTACCTCTTGGTGCCCTAAAACAAGCATATTTACCTCTTGGTGCCCTTAAACAAGCATATTTACCTCTTGGTGCCCTAAAACAAGCATATTTACCTCTTGGTGCCCTAAAACAAGCATATTTACCTCTTGGTGCCCTTAAACAAGCATATTTACCTCTTAGTGCCCCTAAATAAGCATATTTACCTCTTGGTGCCCTTAAACAAGCATATTTACCTCTTGGCGCCCTTAAACAAGCATATTTACCTCTTAGTGCCCCTAAATAAGCATATTTACCTCTTAGTGCCCCTAAATAAGCATATTTTACCACTTGGTGCCCTTAAACAAGCATAGTCTCCACATACTACTACTACAAAAACAACAACAATAATAATAATAACAACAACAACAACAATCATAATACAGTGGTGCCAAATCTACAATCACCCCTTAATCTCCCCCCCCTCCCTTATCTCCCCTTAGTACGGCCCTTAGTGACGAAGCTAGACGCCCCCCCTAAGGGCTTAAGGGTCGGTAAGGAATATGAAATCAGATGCGCTACTGCCGGTTCTCGCCCTCACCCTAACATCACCTGGACACTTGGCAGCGTCGCATCCCTCATTCCACTGGTGCCACATGTAAGTAAATAATTGAATTTTTTATTTATTTATTGTTTGTTTGTTTGTTTACGTCTCATGTGTTTGTGGAATGTTTGTTTATATAATTTTCTTTGTTTATTTACTTGTTTAGTTGTTTTGTTTGACCTAACCTCTCACTTTCACCAGATGGGCTCTTAACCACCTCTCACTTTCACCAAACAAATCCCTCTCCCACTCAACTAATCCCTCACCCACTCAACTAACCCCTCACCCACTCAACTAACCCCTTACCCACTCAACTAACCCCTCACCCACTCAACTAACCCCTCACCCACTCAACTAACCCCTCACCCACTCAACTAACCCCTCACCCACTCAACTAACCCCTCACCCACTCAACTAACTAACCCCTCACCCCACTCAATAACCCCTCACCCCTCGCTTCTTCCCTCTCAACCCCTCACCCACTCAACTAACCCCTCACCCACTCAACTAACCCCTCACCCACTCAACTAACCCCTCACCCACTCAACCCCTCTCTAATCCCTCTCACTTTCGACAGACAGAGCACGGGGTCAACATGAGTACCTCTCAGGTTAAACTGATAGCATCAAGGGGTCACCATGGTCAGCGAATCACCTGTACTGCCCATAATCCGTTGTTTCCTGCCTACACACTGAGCGATTCTGCCTTGCTTAACGTAACATGTAAGTATACTGTGTGTGTGTGTGTGTGTGTGTGTGTCTGTGTGTGTGTGTGTCTGTATGTCTGTCTGTCTGTGTGTGTGTGTGTGTTTGTCTGTGTATGTGTCTGGGAATGTCTGTAAGTGTCTGTACATCCCCATTCATCTTAAATCACCTCAAAACAACCCTTAATTACCATCAATCACCTCTAATCACCTGCTAATCACCTTTACAGATCCGCCAATCGCCACCATGGAACTAGGAAGGGGCGTGACGTCGACAGTTAAGGAAGGCGAGGATGTGTATTTTAATTGCAATGTCGACGCTAATCCTTCCACGTACAAGATCTCCTGGTCAAAAGAGGTAAGTTAGGTTAGATTAGTGTTAAGTTAGGTTAGGTTAGTGTTAAGTTAGGTTAGGTTAGTGTTAAGTTAGGTTAGGTTAGTGTTAAGTTAGGTTAGGTTAGTGTTAAGTTAGGTTAGGTTAGGTTACGACGAGTGTTAGGAGCCCACGACCTTGCCGGCGGTACACAGGCTGCCAAATCCACCGAACATTGCCCGTTAAAGTACCTGTAAAAGAGAGAGAGTGAAGCAACATTGTGGTGAAGAGAAAGGGAAGAAAGATTATCAACTAAAGGAGGAGAGTTAAAATGCCTTTGATTCCACCCTATCCAACAGAGCCACCCCAGATATGAGAGCAGTACTCCAAGTTAGGACGAATGAATCCCTTATATACTTGAACCAACTGTACAGGAGTGAAGTAGCTACGGCATCTGTACAGTATTCCCAGCTTTCAGGAGGCAGCTTTAGCTATGTTGAGGATGTGTGGCTTCAGTGACATATTAGAGGAAATGGTGAGGCCTAGCATATCTGTTTTAGAATTTGGCAACGATGATCGCGTCCTGAAATGTAATTGGTGGGACATCGTCTAATTTACAAAGTGTAATTGGTAAATATTGAGTTTTATTCCTATTGACTTTAACCAAGTTTGTATCTCCCCAGTCAGAGATGCTGCACAGACCCGCGTTGATAGAAGTAATGATATCAGTTCTAGAAACAGATCTAGTTTGAGAGTTAGGAGGAAGGGGAAACTGTGAGGAAGAGTGAAGAGTAGAATCATCGGCGTAAGAATGGATAGAATTAGTCGCAGTGTGAAGTAAATCATTGATAAAAAGAAGGAAGAGAGTTGGTGAAAGAACAGAACCCTGTGGGACGCCACTACTGGTAGAGAAAGAGCGAGAGATTGATCCCTCGACAACAACTGCCATGGATCGGTCCTCAAGGAAGCTAGAGATGAGAGAACAAAGTGGGGGAGAGAAACCAAAAGAGGGAAGTTTAGATAGCAAAGACTTGTGCCATACCCTGTCAAATGCTTTGGAGATGTCGAGGGCCACGACAAAAGTTCCCCATAATCCCTAAGAGAGGATGACCAAAGATGGGTGCAATAGGAGAGCAGATCACCAGTAGATCTCGCCCGGCTAAAGCCATACTGGTGATCTGACAAAAGAGAAAGGCATTCAAGGTGACGGAGAAAATAGGAGTTCAAGATAGTTTGGATAAGGATGAAGTTAGGGCGATAGTTAGAGGTTCAGTGGGAAGAGCAAGAGTCATTAACATAGAAATTATATTAAATTTCTGAGGGCTTATGTCTCTCTCTCTCTCTCTCTCTCTCTCTCTCTCTCTCTCTCTCTCTCTCTCTCTCTCTCTCTCTCTCTCCTCTCTCTCTCTCTCTCTCTCTCTCTCTCTCTCTCTCTCTCTCTCTCTCTCTCTCTCTCTCTCTCTCTCTCTCTCTCACCCCCTCCCACTCACTCCCTCTCACCACAACAGGAGAACCCCATCCTCCACTCGCCTGACGATGGCATCCTCCTGAGTGGGAACAGCCTGGCATTAAGAGGCGTCACAAGGCATCAAGCAGGGCCATACGTGTGTTCCGCTTCTAATGTGGAAGGTGACGCCCACAGCCCTCCTCTCAACCTCTCTGTCAACTGTAAGTATTGGTTGGTGTTTGGTTGGTGTTTGGTTGGGGTTGGTTGGGGTTGGGTTGGGGTTTGGTTGGGGTTGGGTTGGGGTTTGGTTGGTCGATAGATAGATAAATAGATAGATGGATTCTCAAAAGAGTTCTACATTAGAATTTTCCTCCTATGGGTGATGTGAGGACGTATCTAACTAACCAATCACAGCCACCCTTCACATAAAACTAACCAATCACAGCCACCCTTCACATAAAACTAACCAATCACAGCCACCCTTCACATAAAACTAACCAATCACGTCTCTCCTTCACCCCCATAGACTCTCCCGTATGCTATGAGTCTCCAGCAGCCAGCAGGGTCTACGCCACTGGGTTAGGTCAGGTCATCAACGTCTCGTGTGAGGTCATGTCAGCGCCTCGGACTGTCAGATATTCTTGGGTCTTCAATAATTCCATCACTTCACATAGACTTCCGGGTGACCAGGTCTTCGAAACGCCAGGTAATGTCTGTCTTTCTGTCTGTCTGTCTGTTTTGTCTTTCTGTCTGTCTGTCTGTTTTGTCTTTCTGTCTGTCTGTCTGTCTGTTTCTGTGTACATTTTTCACTGTTTCTTCTTGTCTGTGTGTGTGTGTGTGTCTTTCTCTGTCTGTCTGTCTGTCTGTCTGTGTCTGTCTGTCTGTCTCTGTTTCTCTCTGTCTCTCTCTCTCTCTCTCTCTCTCTCTCTCTCTCTCTCTCTCTCTCTCTCTCTCTCTCTCTCTCTCTCTCTCTAACCTAACCCAACCCCACAAAAAATCAAAATAAACAATCAATGACGTCATATCACGGCACGATGACGTCATAAACTGGTTCCCAATCCATGTGAAATTTCATCCATATATAAACTAGTAAATAAACTCACCACAGACACTTAAACAGACAGACTGATAACAGCAAACACCCCCACACACCCTCTAGGTTTATGGCGGGGGTTAAAATGACACACAGGAGCGATATTTAACACAAAACAAGAGAGAATTTAACAAGGGAGCCATTAACTAAATTTCCCGAGAGTCAGCTGGATATTGTTGTGTATATTTTCCTGTACTTGGACTGGATAAACAGACGATACCCACGTATTTTTAAGTCTGTCTGTCTGTCTGTCTGTCTGGTTGTCTGTCTGTCTGTCTGTCTGGTTGTCTGTCTGTCTGTCTGTCTGGTTGCCTGCCTGTCTGTCTGTCTGTCTTTCCGTGACGCATAAACAGAGACAGACAGATATATAAACTGACAGACAGATAGACAATGAATGCCAACTTTCCACTCTTGTATTCACTGCTACTGTAATCTAACGTAACCTAACGTAACCTAACCTCTGTAACTCACTGTAACTTACTGTACCCTCACTGTAACTCACCACTGTAACTCACTGTAACTCACCACTGTAACTTACTGTACCCTACACAGATGGCGGTAGTGTGGTACAATTCGTGGCGAGAACACATCAGGATTACGGTACGCTACAGTGTTGGGCCCAGAATACTGTAGGAAGAATGACTCAGCCTTGTCTGTTTCATGTGGTACCCGCAGGTGAGTGGGGTGTGAGAGGGAGTGGGGCTTAGAGGTGAGATCAGGTAGTTGAGTGGGATAAAGGTTTACCCAGGTGAGAGGGAAATCAGAGTGGGATGAGAAATATTATGAAGAGGTATTGTTATTATTATTATTATTATTATTATTATTGTTATTATTATTATTATTATTATTATTGTTATTATTATTATTATTGTTATTATTATTATTATTATTATTATTATTGTTATTATTATTATTATTATTATTATTGTTATTATTATTATTATTATTATTATTATTATTATTGTTATTATTATTATTATTATTATTATTATTGTTATTATTATTATTATTATTGTTATTATTATTATTATTATTATTGTTATTATTATTATTATCATTATTATCATCATCTTCACTACAGGGCGGCCGGAACACCCTGTCAGCTGCTCAGTTGTCAACAAGACATATGACTCCCTGGCTGTCAGCTGTCAGCCTGGATTTGACGGGGGGCTTAGTCAGCTGTTTGTGGCTAAGGTAAGAACCTAACCTAACCAAATCTAACTTAACCTAACCGAACCTAACCAAAGCTAACTTAACTTAACCGAACCTAACCAAAGCTAACCTAACCAAAGCTAACCTGGCCTAAGCTAACCTGACCTTGCACGTAATATTTTAAGTTGTATTCTCAAGTAAATGTCAAAAGTATCACTCCAGAGGTCACACTCAGAGGTCACACTCAGAGGTCACACTCAGAGGTCACACTTAGAGGTCACACTTAGAGGTCACCCTTCTACCTCAACAGGTCTTCGAGGCAGTTAGTGGCAAGGGCGAGGTATCAGTGACGTCACAACACCCCAGGTTCACTTTAGAGGGGTTAACGCCTGGTCTTGATTACGTCATCAAGGTTATGGCTACCAATGCTCTCGGCACCTCTGACCCCGTTAAGCTAGACGCCTTTACTTACAAGATGGCAGAAAATAGAATGCGTAAGTAATAGTAGCATTAGTAGTAGTAATAGTAGTCTCATCATTACTACAATATCATTATTACCACTATAATTATCATCACCATAACTTAACGTAACCTAACATCAATCCAACGTAACCTAACATCAATCCAACGTAACCTAACATCAATCCAACGTAACCTAACATCAATCCAACGTAACCTAACATCAATCCAACGTAACCTAACATCAATCCAACGTAACCTAACATCAATCCAACGTAACCTAACATCAATCCAACGTAACCTAACATCAATCCAACGTAACCTAACATCAATCCAACGTAACCTAACATCAATCAACGTAACCTAACATCAATCAACGTAACCTAACATCAATCCAACGTAACCTAACATCAATCCAACGTAACTCAAACTTAACCTAACCATTGTTTTTTGGTTCAAGGAGACGATCAGATGCTCAACACTGCTACCTCAGGGCCGGTGGCAGGGTAAAGCAAGTGGTGGTGATAGTGGTGGTAGTTGTGGTTGTGTTTGCTGTCGGATTTGCTGGGCAGGAGAACGGCGGCGGCAACAGCAAACAGGACACAGCAATCGGGACAGTTGTGTTTACGTCCCAGCCGACAGCTCTACCGCGAGAATATCCAGTAAGAATAACTAATTTGGGTGGAATTGGGATATTTTTTTAACATTTTGGGCGATATTTTAACGTAATTTAACGTATTTTAGGATAATTTAACGTAATTTAACGCCTTTTAGGATAATTTAACGTAATTTAACGTATTTTAGGATAATTTAACGTAATTTAACGCCTTTTAGGATAATTTAACGTAATTTAACGCCTTTTAGGATAATTTAACGTAATTTAACATATTTTAGGATAATTTAACGTAATTTAACGCCTTTTAGGATAATTTAACACAATCTAGGTTATTTTCCACATATTAAGTTAAATTTACATTGTGTAGTGTTAAAGTTATAATGCATGTTAATATGATCATTCTCCACGTTAAAAATGTTAATAAGACCCACTTTTTCACCTTGTCGAAGCCATAGTATTAGTGAGAGTCAACAGGGAGTCCCAGCAGGTTCTGACGGCTGTTATAAGACAAGATTCAAAGAGCCTCTTATAACAGGGATAAACACGAGTAAACACAACCCAGTCTTGTTTACGTCTGAGACTGTAAGGGTAACACTGGTTGGTAAACACTGATAGCACCTCGTAAACACAACCCAGTCTTGTGTTTATGTCTGTAAACACTGGTTGGTAAACACTGATAGCACCTCTAAACCAACCCAGTCTTGTTTACGTCTGAGACTGTAAGGTAAACAATGGTTGGTAAACACTGACAGCACCTCGTAAACACAACCCAGTCTTGTGTTTACGTCTGTAAGTAAACACTGGTTGGTAAACACTGACAGCACCTCGTAAACACAACCCAGTCTTGTGTTTATGTCTGTAAGGTAAACACTGGTTGGTAAACACTGATAGCACCTCGTAAACACAACCCAGTCTTGTGTTTATGTCTGTAAGGTAAACTGTTGGTAAAACTGTGAGACTGTAAGGTAACACTGCTGGTAAACACTGACAGCATCTAACACAACCCAGTCTTGTGTTTATGTCTGTAAGGAACACTGGGTAAACACTGATAGCACTGTAAACACAACCAGTTGTTTACGTCGAGAAAGGTAAAACTGGTGGTAAATGACAGCACCTCGTAAACACAACCCAGTCTTGTTTACGTCTGAGACTGTAAGGTAAACACTGGTTGGTAAACACTGACAGCACCTCGTAAACACAACCCAGTCTTGTTTACGTCTGAAACTGTAAGGTAAACTGCTGGTAACACTGAAGCACTGTAAACCAGTCTTGTTTATCGAAACTGTAAGGTAAACACTGGTGGTAAACACTGAAGACTCAAAAACCCTCTTGTGTTATGTCAAAACACTGTGGTAAACACTGATAGCACCTCGTAACACAACCCAGTCTTGTTTACGTCTGAAACTGTAAGGTAAACACTGGTTGGTAAACACTGACAGCACCTCGTAAACACAACCCAGTCTTGTGTTTATGTCTGTAAGGTAAACACTGGTTGGTAAACACTGATAGCACCTGTAAACACAACCCATCTTGTTTACGTCTGAGACTGTAAGGTAAACACTGCTGTAAACACTGACAGCACCTCGTAAACACAACCCAGTCTTGTTTACGTCTGAAACTGTAAGGAACACTGGTTGGTAAACACTGACAGCACCTCGTAAACACAACCCAGTCTTGTGTTTATGTCTGTAAGGTAAAACGTTGAACACTGAGCACAACCAGTTTTCGAGACTGTAAGGTAAACACTGGTTGGTAAACACTGACAGCACCTCGTAAACACAACCCAGTCTTGTTTACGTCTGAGACTGTAAGGTAAACACTGGTTGGTAAACACTGACAGCACCTCGTAAACACAACCCAGTCTTGTGTTTATGTCTGTAAGGTAAACACTGGTTGGTAAACACTGATAGCACTGCAAACACAACCCAGTCTTGTTTACGTCTGAGACTGTAAGGTAAACACTGGTTGGTAAACACTGACAGCACCTCGTAAACACAACCCAGTCTTGTTTACGTCTGAGACTGTAAGGTAAACACTGGTTGGTAAACACTGACAGCACCTCGTAAACACAACCCAGTCTTGTGTTTACGTCTGTAAGTAAACACTGGTGGTAAACACTGATAGCACCTCGTAAACACAACCCAGTCTTGTTTACGTCTGAGACTGTAAGGTAAACACTGGTTGGTAAACACTGACACCTCGTAAACACAACCCAGTCTTGTGTTTATGTCTGTAAGGTAAACACTGGTTGGTAAACACTGACAGCACCTCGTAAACACAACCCAGTCTTGTTTACGTCTGAGACTGTAAGGTAAACACTGGTTGGTAAACACTGACAGCACTCGTAAACACAACCAGTCTTGTTTACGTCTGAGACTGTAAGGTAAACACTGGTTGATAAACACTGACAGCACCTCGTAAACACAACCCAGTCTTGTTTACGTCTGAGACTGTAAGGTAAACACTGGTTGGTAAACACTGACAGCATCTCGTAAACACAACCCAGCTTGTTTACGTCTGTAAACACTGGTGGTAAACACTGATAGCACTGTAAACACAACCCAGTCTTGTTTTGTCTGTAAGGTAAAACTGGTTGGTAAACACTGATAGCACCTCGTAAACACAACCCAGTCTTGTTTACGTCTGACTGTAAGGTAAACACTGGTTGGAAACACTGATAGCACCTCGTAAACACAACCCAGTCTTGTTTACGTCTGAGATCAAGGTAAACACTGGTTGGTAAACACTGACAGCACCTCGTAAACACAACCCAGTCTTGTTTACGTCTGAGACTGTAAGGTAAACACTGGTTGTAAACACTGACAGCACCTCGTAAACACAACCCAGTCTTGTTTACGTCTGAAACTGTAAGGTAAACACTGGTGGTAAACACTGACAGCACCTCGTAAACACAACCCAGTCTTGTGTTTATGTCAAGGTAAACACTGGTTGGTAAACACTGATAGCACTCAACTAACCAGTGTTTACGTCTGAGACTGTGGTAAACACTGGTTGGTAAACACTGACAGACCTCGTAAACACAACCCAGTCTTGTTTACGTCTGAAACTAAGGTAAACACTGGTTGGAAACACTGACAGCACCGTAACTTCTTGTGTTTATGTCTGAAAACGGTTGGTAAACACTATGCACCTTTAAACACAACCCAGTCTTGTTTACGTCTGAGACTGTAAGGTAAACACTGGTTGGTAAACACTGACAGCACCTCGTAAACACAACCCAGTCTTGTTTACGTCTGAGACTGTAAGGTAAACGGTTGTACTGACCGTAAACAAACCAGTCTTGTGTTTATGTTGGAAACACTGGTGGTAAACACTGATAGCACTCGTAAACACAACCCAGTCTTGTTTACGTCTGAGACTGTAGGTAAACACTGGTTGGAACACTGACAGCACTCAAACACAACCCAGTCTTGTTTACGTTGAGACTGTAGGTAAACACTGGTTGGTAAACACTGACAGCACCTCGTAAACACAACCCAGTCTTGTTTACGTCTGAGACTGTAAGGTAAACACTGGTTGGTAAACACTGACAGCACCTCGTAATTCACTTGTAGGTCACTTTTCTTGTTTTCTGTCGCCTTTTTAATATTTATCAATTTTTAACAGTTTTATCATTTTATTCCATATACTTAGTTTAGTCAAGATAACTTTTTTTTTGTTGTTATTACAGTGACAAGATAACATTCTGAGATTTTTGTTACGTTTTTACAGTTAAAATATTCACCAAAATCAATATTAATGGATAATTTAACATTTTATATTATTTTAACCTGCATAAACCTTCAATAAAACACAAAAGGTGATTAATTTAACGTCATATTAACACAATGTTAAATCTTATCCCGTTCGTGTATTACATTAACATTGTACGATATATATGACAACAAACCCTCCACATGTAAATTGTCCTCTGATTGGATGACGGGTTGTTCGCTCTGGGTGCTAATTGGTTGATGGAGTATTCGCTATCGGTGTGATTGGCTGATGGGATATTCACAACTCTACGCTGATTGGTTAATGGGTTATTCGCCACGCGGTGTTGCCAGTTCTTACAGCTGGTGAAAGACGAGCCTAATGCAACTTGTCAATAGTTATTAAAGTTTGAGTCTTGAGGGACATTTGGCAACGTTGCTATCGAGTGAGTACCTTTGGTGATTATTTATCTGTGTATGTATGTATGTATGTATGTATGTAGTTGACGTAGGCACTGTGTACAGAGCCCTGGATCGAACCCGAGTCCTCAGGATACGTTAGTGAGACAATTGCATAATATGTTAAGTAAGACAGAGCCATGAATATTTTCTCTCTGTCTCTCATTATTGTACACACAAAGGGTTAACACTATCTTCACCAGTATTTACCTCCCACATAATACTAACTCACCTAAGCTGCTTCCACCAGCATTTTACCTAACCTAACCAAAAACCTAACCAAACCATAACATAACCCAAACCAAACACTAACCAAACCCAACCAAACCCAACCAAACCCTAACCAAACACTAACCAAACCCTAACCTAACCATAACCAAACACTAACCAAACACTAACCAAACACTAACCAAACTCTAACCAAACTTTAGTTTATGTAATTTAACTTTTAACAGATGTTGTTTACAATTAATTATAAAACCAAATAAATAAACAAACAAATAATTACGTAAACAATTAAATCGACCAAAAAAAAGTGAAAAATATTGTATAAACTTTAATAAATGTTGTTTACACTTCATTACAAGGCCCTTCGCCCTCGCAAGCTCTCTGTTTACATAAGCTGTTTGACTTAGGCTGTTCAAGGGAAAAGATTGTTTGTCGTAGCACAGTCAGGTAAGGTTAGGTTAGGTTTTGGTCGGGGTTACGTTGGGTTTGGTTAGGTTTTGGTCGGGGTTACGTTGGGTTTGGTTAGGTTTTTGGGGGTTACGTTGGGTTTGGTTAGGTTTTGTCGGGGGTTACGTTAGATTGGTTACATAAGAACATAAGAATGGATGAAACGGTAACTATTGGTCCATACTGACAGTCCTGCTTACACCCAACCCCTATTGCTCATATATCCATCCAACCTGTGTTTGAAGCTATCCAGCGTATTCGAGTTAATGATGATATTTTAAACTTGTTCCACCTGTCCACTGCTCAATGTTTACCTATTTCGCCTAAATCTAAATTTGTCTAATTTAAAACCATTGTTACGAGTTCGCTCCTGGTTGGATAGTTTGAGTACTTTGTAATGTCACCTTTGTTCAGCCCTGACTTCCATTAATACACCTCTATCAGGTCGCCCTCGCTCTACGTCTCTTGAGGAGTGTAAATTAAGATGCTTTAACCTGTCTCTGTACTCAAGGTTCCTAATGCCCTGATTAGTCTTGTCATTCTCTGGATTCTTTCCTAAGGATTCTATATCCATTATGTAATACGGTGACCAGAATTGAACTGAGTAATCCAGGTGTGGTCTCAAGGCACAAGATATAGTTTTAGGATGACCTCCTAGTCTTGTAGCTAACATCTTTGTATGAACCCAAGTATTCTTTATTAGCTGTTACGAGCAAATACACATTGTTTACTTGGCTTAAGATTCCTACTTATCATTACTCCTAAATCTCTCTCGCAGTCGGATTTCTCAATAACATCGTTGTTCATCTGGTATCTGGTTTCCCTGTTTACATCTATACTGAGTACTTTACATTTGTCCACATTGAATTTCATCTGCCATTTTTCAGACCATTGGAAAATTTGTTTAGATCTTCCTGTAGTTTTGCTGAGTCCTCGTCAGATTTAATAACACGTCCTATTTTAGTGTCACCAGTAAATCATCTTATGTTGCTGTCTATGCCGATATCTATGTCGTTTATGTATATAATAAATAATAATGGTCCAAGTACTGAGCCTTGGGGAACTCCACTAGTGACGCTACCCCAATCAGATTTAGTGCCGTTAGGTTAGGTTAGATTAGGTTAGGTTAGATTAGATTAGGTTAGGTTAGGTTTTGGTGACGATACAATATAATGTTTGTTTGTTTCTTTGTTTCAGATGATGACGAAATTCACTTTGAGGTCAGAACTATAAATCTTGATTCACACAGAGAGGAAATTACGGTGAGTTAGCTCTCTCTCTCTCTCTCTCTCTCTCTCTCTCTCTCTTTATCTGAGTTAATAAAAGTACAAATAATTAGATCGATAATTAATTAAATCTATTTCTTTCTCAACAGCGAATAGCAGACGAGGCCATGTGAAGTGTTTCTGTACATACATACATACATACACACATACATACATACATACATACATACATACACATCTATAGTACAGACAGCATTACACACACACACACACACACACACACACACACACACACACAAGAATCTCATTGGCTGTTTGTGGAGAAAAAAAAACTCAAGCCAGCCAATCACAAGACCGTATTCGATCTCCAGGTGTGACGTAAGCAAACCCCGGCCTTGGAACCAATCAGCTCACCCTAACCAAAGACTAACCAAATCCTAACCAAATCCTAACCAAATCCTAACGTAATTAATAGGCAGAAAATGACATAAAGACAATTAATTTCTACTTATTTGTAAATAGAACGGATAGCAACTACGAGCCTAATGAATTGTAAATAATAACAATGAGTGTTTGTTTGTCTGTTTACATGTAGGTAATATAGTTTTGTATTGTGTAAATGATATGGTGTGTAAATGATGTATTTTTTTACTATACGGTTTTTGTAAATATGATGCCTTTGTGTGTGTGTGTGTACGTATGTATTATGTATGTATGTATGTATGTATGTATGTATATGTAAAAAAAAACATTGTTAGTATTAAAAAAGTGATTAATATTTGTTTGTTTTATTTACAAGAATTTTAATAATGGTAAAATAATATAAATAGTGTATTAATGTTTTAGCATCATGAGGTGAAGTAAGGTACCAGGGGCTATTAAACCTTCCTAATACCATAGATTAATAATATTTGACGTTCTTTGTTTCCTTGAGGTAAAATACTGAAGCTATGGGAGGAATTAGAGACTTAGTAAGTATTTATAAGGTGGATAATGAAGACGAACCTTGCTAGCTTATACGTCGAAATATTTATCCACCGATGTGTTATTTGATGTTTATTTTCTTACTATATTTTTATTAGTGAATTCTGATATAATAGTCATTTCTTGGGAAAATTATTCATTTGGTAGATAATTAGGTAACTAGGCGGCACTACTTTATCTTCTGAGCGGTAATGCGGCTGTGACGTCACATACCCAGATGTCAACAGCCAATCATATTAACGTATCCAATTGAAGTCTACGCTCAGTGTACTTCATGAAGCGGAGGGAGGTGGTTATCGGCTCTCATGTCCACAGAAAAACGTAAAATTACACCATATCATAGTAAGTCCCTTCTGTTTAATATACCAGTTAGGTTTAATATAGTTTTGCTTAAGTTGAGTTATGTTTAATTTAGGTTAGATTTAACTTAGTTTAGGTTAAGTTAAAATTAAGTCATCAATTAAGATCTTTTATTTACAAGTCCATTAATTAATTCCGCCTCAGGTAACAGACATCTCGACTACATAACCCGTATCAGGTTCACAAACTCCTCTACAATAGAGTAATGATCCAACTTATTGTTCCATCTATCTGTCTTCAATCCTACAAGGGGTGGGGGGGGGGGTTAAATCCTCTCACCAGATGCTCATTTGTTTCTCCTCTTAAGAGTTTCGATCCTTTATACATATATAGAGAAAGATAACGTAATAGAAGAATAATGAAGGAAATAACGAAGAAAATAAAGGAAATAAAGAACTCTCAGATCATCACCACCACTACTACCACCACCACCACCACTACAACAACTAAATCAACCACCCCTTCCTCCTCCACTTCCTCCTCCTCGAAGACAAATACTCGAGCCTTAACATGGAGTCTTATCTCTCCCGTAAATAAATCAGCTTCAGGTCAGTTGTCTTATCTGCTCGGTAATTGGTCAAGATAAAGCTATACCTCGAAGACTAGTAGCTATTCCTTGAAGGCTAGTGGCTATTCTTTGAAGGTTTGTAGCTATTCCTTGAACATACACACACACACACCTCCTACACATACACACACCCACACACACACACACGCCTCCTACACACACAAACACACACACACACACACACCTACACACACACACTCCTCCTACACACACACACACACACACACACAATACACGCCAAATCCACCCTACACAGGCTATACGCACACACACACACAGGAAGTGAGCCGTCATTCATACACACCGCTATCAGAAGAGTATTCAGTATTCAGCTCCAATATACACGAGTTGTATAGAATACTGTCGAGATAAAACAAATACATTTTAACCCACCCAATATTGTGGCTTTGTGTGTGTGTGTGTGTGTATGTGTGGTTTTATATTGACTTAACTTTAGTTTAACCTAGTTTAATCTGACTTAACTTAACCTGACTAATATGTAGAGTACTTGAGAGTATTATCAGAGATGCCGCAATGGAATATCTAATACGAAACAATCTTTTAAAGGATTGCCAACACTGTTTTATGCCGGGGCGCTCCTGTTTAACACAATTGCTCAAGGTATTGGATATTTGGACCCATATTCTAGAACGGGGTGGTAATATCGACAATATTTACCTAGGTTTTGCCAAGGCTTTCGACAGTGTACCCCACGAAAGGCTGAAAATCAAACTGGAAGGGTACGGGATTCGGGGAAATGTCCTAGCGTGGATAGAAGACTTTCTACATGACCGCAAGCAGTGTGTGGTGATTAATGGCACGAAATCATCATCGTACCTGTCACAAGCGGGGTACCACAGGACAGTGTATTGGGCCGCTGTTTGTTTGTTTCATAAATGACATGCCTGACGTTGTACACTCCTCCATCAAATGTTTGCCGATGACGCCAAGTTATTTCGGGAAATCAAGAACCAAGCGGACTGTGAAGAGCTGCAGAAGGACCTCTGTGGGCTCCAGAATGGTCGAAGAATGGCTGCCGAGATTCAATGTCACGAAGTGTAAGGATGCACCTGGGGCGTACCAACGGTAAGGAGGCGTATCATATGTCCCAATGGGATGAAGAAACTGCACTAGTTGAGACTGAATGTGAGAAGGACCTAGGAGTGTATGTTGACAATGAGCTGAAGTTCTCGGGCCATTGCGAGAAGAAGGTAAATCAGGCAAATAAATTGTGGGTCTTATAAGAAGGTCGTTCAGACATCTAGACAGTCCGTCCTTGTAACGATCTTCAGAGTGAAGTGCTTCCCCATCTGGAGTACTGTCACCCGTCTGGTCCCCAGATATGCTAGGGACTGTCAGTTGGTTGAAAATGTTCAAGGAGGGCCACCAGACTGGTGCCTGCACTACGATTCCTCAGCTACCCTGAGAGATTGGAGCGCCTGAACTTGTCCAGCTTATACTACAGACGGGCAGGGGACCTAACTGGGGTGTATAAGCATCTCAAGGGGCACTACTCAGTTGAGTGTCCTTACTTGGAGCTGGCGGACGCTCGCCCACAAGGGGTCACAGCTCAAGGTTGAAGAAGCCACAAGTCCAGAAAACTGTGAGGGGTAACTTTTTCGGAGTGAGAGTTGTGAACTGTTGAAACAATCTGCCAGAGAGTGTTGTGACGGCACCGAGTGTGGTGTTTCAAGACCAGACTTGACCAACACTGGAGCAGGTTCAGGTACATTCAGGAGCCGGTACATGCCCAGTACTTGCCAACAGTGCGTGACAGAGACGTGACCGATCACCCAAGCGGCTAACGAGCCGATCAGTGGCGAAGAGGATAAAAGTAAAAGTAAACGCTGGACCATTGATAATTATTATATTATTATTATTATTATTATTATTATTATTATTAGTAGTAGTAGTAGTAGTAGTAGTAGTATTATTATTATTTGTATTATTATTATTATTATTATTATTATTATTATTATTATTTAAAGAGATAGTAACATAACATCATATGGTGTTATAGGCCTTTAAAATAATCATAGTATTATAAATTTAATAATAAAATAATAAACTACTATTAAATAATTAAAAAGAAAATAATAGAACGATTTATTATGATTATTTATTTATTTTCTTATCCATTTCGGCAAAATGATTCTATAATTGTTCGATTCTCCATCTCTCGACTTTAACTTAGAATAAAAATAAAATATACCACTAATAGAAACATTTAACATAACGAATATAAAATAAAAAAATACAATTAATTTATCTTATTTAATTATGCTGTTAAAAAGTTAATAAAAGTTTACGAATAATTATATATAAAAGAAAATATTATACTAATCCACATGAAGGGAATCGGACTCAGCCATGCACCTTAGTCACTTGACCACGGGAGAAGCTGAACAAATATCTGACATTTTAGTGAATTTCCTCAAAAATGGGGATATTCTCCGCCGCTACGCCATTCGACCAGGTTGTGGGTAAGTTAGGGATTATATATAACCAGTATGACGTTATAGACATATGATATAAGCTGTGGAGAAGCGGGTAATTATGTGAGGTGAGGGAAATGTCTTGGGTGTTGTGACAGGTAATTACAAGACATTTGGTTTGGTTAGGTTAGGTTATTGTTTTTTGGTTATATTATGTGATTATTTATAGTGGAAGACTAGTTATTGTGGGTAATTATTGGGAATTATCATATATGTGGTGTTATTTACGTGTGTGTGTCATTATCATGTGATGGTCTGTTTTAAGTAATTATTCTATGATTATCAATGATTATTAGTCATTTATGATTATTTATAACGATAATTTATGATAATGATTCGTTTTTATGCCATAATGGAATTTTTTATAACTGAATTGGGATTTAATTAATTTTTATTATGATTTATTGTATTTTCATATTTTTAATTACCTAACGTAAACTAACCTAACCTAAACTAACCTATATTTTAATTATTGTTGGTTATTTATTAATATACGACTGAGTTGCCAAAATTTTCCTTATTATTGTTGTTTCTGTAAATCTAAATTAGGTTGGGTTAAGGTTAGGTTAGGTTAGGTTAGAGTGTGTTTTGGTTAGGTGAAATTAGATTAGGTTGTGCGTTATATTCAGGGGTGATAATTGCTATATTTTCCAGAACGAACGACTGGCAATTGACACTAAAAAACAAAATAATATCATATTTTTGTGTACGTGCGACTGGTAACCCCAAGGCAGTGACGACACCGGGGGAGGGGCTGCAGTTTCCCATAATCTCCATCAGTCCCCAAAAAGCCACCCCAGGCCCCCTAAATAATAAAGTTTTTCAGAATAACCTTCCTCCCCCAAATAAAATAATTATCAAAACCTAACGATTCCACCACAGAACAGAAGTCTCCCACCACTAACAGCAAACACACGCCATAAGACCGTTTAGGTACGACGTTATAGAGCAAAATTTATCATCTAGTAAATTATTCAACGTCTGGGCAGCTCTATATCGCATTTAAAGTTTCCATATTAATTTCTACATAATTATAATCCACGACTGTCGCGGTAGGATTTCTGCGGAGTATTTATAATTACTTACTTAACTGAATCAGTTTAGAGACCATACACATCTTTATATAGCCATTTAAACAAAAACCAATTATTATAGATGGATTCACTACAGGATTAATTTATTTATGAATGCTATTAGCTCTTGGGTCAATATATAAGACTATAGACAAAATAAGGTACTGAATTTGTGTTTGAATTCAATACTCAATCGTTTATAGTTTATATGGTATTAGAATATTTCCCTGATAACGTCTACACTAATACAAGCTGTTTAGTGTGGCATTCTGATTCTATTTTCTATATGTGTGTTACTGTTCAGGTAGACATTATTCCTTGTATGTTTGTATCTATATAAACTAGTGTGCATCAGCGTGACTTTGCCAGTTAAGTCTGCAGCATGTGAACACAGTTTTACCTGCCTACGACTGACAGAAACTTGAGGAACAGCAGTAGTGGTGGCAGAACAAGTTATGTGTTGTATCTATAAATTCACAAAGAGCCAAGAATCTGAATGTTGAAGACACCGAAGAATCACGCTGCTATAACTTCTGTTTTTAGTTGTCCTGAGTCTTTCATCTGAGAGTAAATATATTAAGTTCTTGCTGCATATAAATTATTTCTAATTTCTTCTTCTTCATTATTTTGATGACTTGCATATTGATCTAATTTCATTTTGTATATATTGTTTTTATTCTTTATTAGGTACAGTAAGTAAAACAACTATCTGTGTATACTTTGTGGGAAACAGTATTAGACCAGGGATGATAAATATTGGTATAGGTTGTACCTCTCTAGTCCGGCATTCTGTGGTCCGGTAACTCCCGTGGCCTGGAACGACTTTAGTTTGCCCATGGAGAAAATTAATTTGAGTCTCGTACTTTCGATGTTTGGCTAAATTTTGCCTTATTTACCCTACTTTTTGGGCGAATTACTACCTGCAATAAAGCAACATCCTAATAAACCAACGAAAATAACACAAAGTTAAATCAAAACTAAAAACAACACAGAAAAGTTCTTATGTTGTACAGCTTCAGCTAGAGTTGAACCTGATGACTTGGCAACTTTGTCATCCAAGTAAAAACACACACAACAACATTGGCTGTCCTTATGTTTTCAACTTTACCACCACTGGTGGGTAGAATTTTTGTTTTAAATTCAGAAACATTAATTAAAATATATATGAACAGTAAATAAGTGTTGCTTTTATATTCTTATGTAGAGTAATGACGATATGTTTACACATGTCGACTTGCTACTTCCATTGTTCCATTTATTAACACAAAATAACATTACTTCAAACAACCATATTAATTTTACTACAGCTACAACCAGGGTCTTATTTTCTTCAGTTTTATATGTAGAACCAATCAGTCACTGGTTTTGTAAACATTAACGAAAACAACGACGTCTCGTGTGTTTTAATATTCTACGTATTATTAATGAATTGTATCGTTCATTTTGCACACATAAACATTAATTCAATCAAAAAGACATTTAATAATAAACAATAATGAATCATTTGTACATAGAGAAATGACGCTGTTTACACAATTGTGCACGCCTTCAACGCTGGCGGTCAGCTCAACCATTTAAATTTAAGCTCACGAAATTTTAAATTATGAGTGGTTTTTTTGTGTCCAAATAAAAAACGTTGAATTAAAAACTTGCAAAATTTGAGAACCTACTGTACAACATTTAACCCTTCAATATGTCTTCAAAGTGACCGTGAAGCAGTGAAAGTGGTGCTAGTGCTTCCAAGCGTAAGCACAAGTCACTATCTATCCAGGAAAATGGTGAATTTCCATGGTCCGGAAATTTCTTTGGTCCGGCACCGGTCAGGTCCCGAGGTTGCCGGACTAGAGAGGTACAACCTGTATGTGAAGGCTGTCACTAGTCACACGTCAACTTTGGGAGCATACCGACCCCCACCTGCACAGATAGTTGTTTTAACTACTATACTATTGCATGGTTTGTCAATCTTATATAAAGTGTGAATAAATGCATCTTTAGAAACTTGCTATTTTTATTAATATGTAATACACATTGTAAGTAGAAAGTGTTCCTCTACAAACTCACCTTGGAAACAAGTCCCCTAGCCCCCTCTTCCAACCAAAATTGCTACCCCTAAGCTCCTCCTGTATAGAAATTCTGTAGCCCGTGCTGCCCCAAGGTAAACACCCCACCACATCAAACCGCTAACTCTCGGTGTATTTTCCAGACCCTTCGACTGGTGACCCCAAGGCAAATTAAACAATACCGTCATTTATTATTGTGAGCTTGGCCCGGTGACCGCATCAAACTCGCTAAACCTCGGTGTATTTTCCAGATCGTGCAACTAGCGAGAAACAACACTCCGATGACTGGAGTCAGATAATGGACATATGCGATAAGGTCAAAGAAAGTACTGTGGGCCCCAAAGATTGCCTTAAGGCCCCTCTAGACTAGCCTCGACCAACCCCAGAATTGTCCTTCAGGCGATAACGGTAAGTGTTGATGTTCCTTCTAGCGAGGTTGGTGTTAGAGTGAGACTTCCTTATAATGGAGTCTTATCTCTTCGTATAGTTCATTAAATAGAGGTTTTATATCTAACGGACCCTCGATATAATGGAATTTCCTCTCCATACAGTTCATTAAATCGAGGTTCCGCTATATCAGACCAACATCACAGGCTTTGTTTACTGTTTGCAGCTCCTCGATGCCTGTATCAGCAACTGTGGCCGCAAGTTCCTGCTAGAGGTCGCAAGCAGAGACTTTGAGCAAGAGTTACGCAAGCACATGACCAGCCCTCGTACACATCACAAGGTTAGTATGGGGTCAACTGGGGTCAGGGGTCACAAATACACCCTGATATTACCCACCCATACACACCCTGATTACCCCTCATACACATTCTGATTACCCCCTGGGACACATGACTTAAGGCTACATAACTACCAGTGTCACTTTGTACCCACTGGTGATACATAATGGGCGTGTCTCATCGTCCATTAGTCACCTCAGCCAGCGTAAACATGAGTAACGATACACTCGATTCATTGCTATTCGAATTTCACTCTTCCTATAGACTTCAGGCGATTTACAACTTCCCGATATAAAACCTCCCGATTTGCACCTTCCCGATAAAACCTCCCATTTACACCTTCCGATATAAAACCTCCGGTTTAAAAACTTTTCTATATGAGGAACTCCAGGTTGTAATCCACTAAGTATCGAAATAGAAAATGGAGGAAAATGCCCAGGTAGGAATGTGTGACATACATTAATATTTTCAGAAAACTCACCCACTGCACAGTCGGCCTAAGATGCATCGACCTCACCCTGGCTTTCAAACTGGCAATTTTACCTGACAGTACCTGGTAAATTAAGGCTCTGTGTGTAATGGTGATTGTAAGTCTCCTAAACTAAGGCTCTGTGTATAATGGTCATTGTAAGCTCCCTCAAATGTGAAACAATTTACCATACAATCTTCATCATTTCCTCCTCACAATCATCACCAGTTCTCTCAGGTTTCAGAAAGACTGCGGCAAAGCTTAAAGAAATGGGCCGAGGGTGACTTCAAGGGCGACCCACAGCTTAGTCTCATTCCAGCGCTCTACGCCAAGCTTAAGCAGGAGGGTTATGACTTCAACGTCCACTCGGAATCGGTAAAATATCTCGGTGTGCGTTTGTTTACGAGTAGGTCCGTCGAGGGTAGAGTTTCCTTAGGGGTTGACTGATAGCTTGTTCGGTTCACCTGATGATTTGGCACCACAGTTTATTTAACTTATTTAAACATCCTAATGCTATGTGGGAGGGTTAGGTTAGGTTTGGCTATGTTAGATTAGATTAGGTTTGGCTATGTTAGGTTAGATTTGGCTATGTTAGGTTAGATTTGGCTATGTTAGGTTAGGTTTGGCTATGTTAGGTTAGATTTGGCTATGTTAGGTTAGATTTGGTTATGTTAAATTAGGTTTGGTTATGTTAAATTTGGTTAGGTTTGGTTTGGCTATGTTAAATTAGGTTAGGTTTGGCTATGTTTGGTTACTCAATGTTGTGTTGGATTAGGTTAGCTCCCTAGTTTATTTCATTTGATTAAACACCAAAATTCAGCAATGACCAGAATGATTTTGAATGAGTGTGTTTACTATGTTTCGGCCCCAAACTGTATTTCCTTACTGTATTACAGCTAACTCCATTTCTCTACTGTATTTCAGCCGAAGAAAACTCCACCAAAATACAGTACTGACCCCAATGTAGTTGAGAGTAAACAAGAGGACGATATAGCAGGGCCATACAGCTGTCACTCCAGGACAACGGGACCACCAAGACCCCCCCCGGCTCCCAGTCCTCGTCCCGGCCAGCCTCCACCGGCCTCTATTCCTCGGCCTCGGCTGCCCTCTCCGGCGATGTGGATCCCTCGGCCGCAAAGGAGACTCAGAAGGCCGGCGTCACGACTTTGAGGCGGTCGAGGATAACGAGCTGACTTTTAAGGCCGGAGAAATAGGTTAGGTTATTTGATTGATAGATCCGTATTTCTATTGATTATTTACTTATTTCTTGGTTTTTTTACTTATTTGATTTTTTTTTAAGTTGATCTCGGACTGATTTAAGAGAACGGCCGAACCCGGAAAAGAAATCGTCGTAGAAATTATTTTGTCATCACTGTGTGTAGAGATATGTCCTGAATCACATACTTAAAACCACCATTAATTCACTTTTGGGGGAAATTATTTTTAACAAGGGTTTAGAATTAGAACCGTTGATGGCTGTGTTTGTTTTAGGTCAAATGAGAAGCTTTCATGGCTCTGTGGTTGTTTTAGGCGCCATCAATATAAGTTTCCCCTGTTGCAACTGTTGAACCTGTGTCCCCTGTTGCAACTGTTGAACCTAAGGGATGAGTTTTATCAAGTCCATTTGAATTGTTCTTCTCAGTACAGATTTGTCGATCTTTCTGATAAATTGTTCCTTGAAGAGAGAGATATAGGAATGGCTGTTGTCTCATATGTAAAGTAGAAAGCCATATCATTATTCTCTCTTGGTGCTGAGGCAAGACATCGCACGAATTAAACTGATGGGTCCGTTTGAATCTCCCGCTTGTGTACTTTAATTCCAGGTTGATTGTCTGTACACACTATCTGACTTCTGTTTTTTGTTGCATCACTCCCAGGTTGATTATCCATACCACGTTGTACCCCAAGGCTCACCCTCTCGGTTTCATCGCAGTTGATACCGTCGCTATCAGTAGCCGTCAAACCAGTAGCTAGAGATCCAAATTCAGGACTCCATTGGTTCCAGATGTACAATTTATTTAATGGATTGTGCATCAGAGACCAGTCTAGGATATTTTTTTTCATGTCTTTCATATACTGTTCCTGTCTACCTATCCCAAACTCCTTCTGGTGACAGCTTGTAGTGCGTTGTCTGCCCATCAGTACATTGTGAACTGCTGCAGGAGTGTGTATAGTGTGCACCCACTCTTGCCGAATACTTTCCGTCGTTCCTCTATCTCTGGTGAGGCTCCCGAGGCTTTTCAAAGACTTAATCATAACTTATTAGGTCAAGAGATCAGTCCAATATCCAGCCCAAAGCCTCTCACTCCTTCCTACTGTATAATAACCATCCTCAAAATTACTTATACAGCTTCTGCATCATTTAGAGAGAGGAACACTTTCAACATAACTGATGTGTCCTGTTGCAGCTGAGTGATTAAGTTATCCACAGCTACCAAATGATCCTCCCAGAGTGTTAGTCTCTTTTGATATGATCCATCGTTGGCTTACAGTTTCATGTTGTTCATTTGATCATTGGAAATAGCATGTAACTTTACCCACTGGTGAGGTTTGGGCCTTGTCTGAAAGTTAACTATGCTGTCTCTACTCATCTGATGATTGCCCTTCAGTCTGTTAACTCATAGTGTTGACAATATTATTCACTTCATGCCCCCTTCACACACACACACCCCTTCACACACACCCCTCACACACACACCCCTTCACACACACCCCTTCACACACACACCCTCACACACACACCCCTTCACACACCTTCACACACACCCCTTCACACACACACCCCTTCACACACACACCCCTCCACACACACACCCCTCACACACACACCCTCACACACACACACCCTCACACACACACCCCTCACACACACACACCCCTCACACACCACCCCTTCACACACACCCCCTCACACACACACCCCTTACACACACACCACAAATCCTGATAAAAAACAAAGATAATTCCTCGGTATTTTATTAAGTATTTCACTAACAAAGAAACAACAATGGTTATAAACTTGACTTAACACACACCATTAATTGAGTTTTCTTATAGTCTCCCCTAATTCACTTGACTGAAAATAGAAAACGTGGCCTTGTAAAAAATATTCCTCCATAGGTAATTAATAAGGTTTTTTTTAATATATGTGATTTATGACATTTCACCGCTTGATGCTGTTATGATTTCTATGGGAATTTTGGCTTCTCCTACAGGGCTATTATACTGTACTTGAAATTGACCTGAATATGTAAATATGCAATTATTCATTCTCTTTCATTCATTCTTTCTTCACTTATCCATTCATTCATTCTTGAGTCTTCATTCACTGGGTATTCTTTCATTTTCTCTCTTCATTCATACAGTTTTTAAATATCAAGGGTTCATTAGATGTTAAACCCCCATCTAATGAACTATATAGAGATGAAAGTCCATTATATCGGTGTCTGTTAGATGTTAAACCTCCATCTAATGAACTATATAGAGATGAAAGTCTATTATATCAAGGGTCAGTTAGATGTGAAACCTCCATCTAACGAACCATATGGAGGAAGAATTCAATATATCGAGGTCTCACTGTATAAAATGTACACTCGCTCCATAAATCTATCTTTACTTGAGGTGATCGGTGAATTCCAGAGTGAGCCTCACGACTCCTGTTGTCTCGATAGTGTTGTCAAAGCTTTCGTTTATTGTCATATTGTCTAACACAGAATCGTAAAGATGCTTTTTGAAGCGTGTGTAAATAATGAGTAACTTTTGTCCTCTAATTCGAATACAATTTAGGTAGTGTACTTGTACTCTTAAGAACATTTTATCATATTGTACTCTTAAGTATATTTTTTTGGTATTGCTTGTACTCTAACTTAATCACAGTACTGTACTCTAACCTAACCTGGCCTAACCAAACCTAACCTACCCTACCCTGACCTAACCCAACCCAACCCAACCTGCCCAAACCTAACCAAACCTAACCTGGCCGAACCAAACCTAACCTACCCTGACCTAACCTAACCTACCCTGACCTAACCTAACCCAACCCAACCCAACCTGCCCAAACCTAACCAAACCTAAAAACTAAATCCTGGTTCTATATTTACAGTCGTGGTACAGGACAGCAGCGATCCCAATTGGTGGAAGGGGACCAATCACAGAGGAGAGGGTCTCTTCCCCGCAAATTTCGTCACCTTAGACTTGGCACCCGATCCTGAGCCCTCTTGTGAGTGTGTGTGTGTGTGGCTACCTTATACGACTGTGGCGCGGCGGTGTGGCTACCTTATACGACTGTGTGCGCGTGTGTGGCTACCTTATACGACTGTGCTGCGTGTGTGGCTACCTTATACGACTGTGTCGGCGTGTGTGGCTACCTTATACGACTGTGTGTGTGGTACCTGGCGTGTGTGTGTGGCTACCTTATACGACTGTGTGCGATGTGGCTACCTTATACGACTGTGTGTGTGTGCGTGTGTACTTCTGATAATCACCACTTCAGCCTATCCCACCCTAATGCTAACCTAACTTAACCCTTCTGTCCAGGTAGCATAAGAGGGTGAAATAACCAAGGAGGTCTATTGCTATCTTTTTTTTGGGTTATATTAAGAAATACAAAATACAGTCTTTTTGTAGTGGTGAGGAACAGTACAGTATTTAGTCGGGGGTTAAATTACAGTAGTGTCTTAGGGTTACGTCAATGTCCAGATCGGAGAAATATTCGTAAATCATTTTTTGTGTAAATCTCGGGCACGTCAGGTCAGGTCCGGTCAGATGCTTTGGTTTGTAACGTGGCATGCGTGTAAACATATCCCGTTGGTACCGACAACGTGCGGATATCTTGTAAATCCAGACACCCACTTTGCAGCTACCCCTAATCTCCGTCTCACCCAGCAGGTATGGAGGGCGGCAAGAGGGTGTCGTTTTCTGAGAACGTGCAGGTGACGGAGGTAGAGGAGGCGGGGAGGGAGGAGGCAAAGACACCCCACAGGTCACCGGAGAGATCGACGAAGAGATAATCGATACACTCCTCCACGTCCTGCAACCCGATCCTACCGGCGAACGACCCGACCACCATATTGGCTTTGCTTGAAGGTCAGTACCGGGGTACGCGACGTAGCGTGGGTCGTTGTATCGTTTACTAGACGACCAGACGAGCTTTGGTTTATTTTGGGGCGACTTGGGAAATTTAACTGTTTTTATCTTCTAAAATGTATTCAAGTTTTGTTTAAATATTAATGTTAGTTAATTTTTGGTTTAGGTTTATCTGATTTTTTATTATTTCCATTTCTGTTATAGTGAATTACTGTATAATATAAACCTCAACACACACACACACACACACACACACACACTTAGTAACAGTAAGACACACACACACACACACACATACAAGTAACAGTAAACACACAACAACTATAGTAACAGTAAAACAACACACACACACACTATAGTAACATAAAAACACACACACACACACACACTTAAGAGTAAGAACACACACACACACTATAAAAGTAACACAACACACACACACACACCTAGTCAGTAAACACACACACACACACACACACACTATACAAAGTAACAGTAAACACACAACACACACACACACACACACTTGTAAGTAAACACACACACACACACACACTATACAAGTAACAGTAAGCACACACACACACACACACACACACTATAAGTACAGAAACCACACACACACACACACACACACTATAGTACATAAGCAACACACACACACACACACACACACTATACAAAGTAACAGTAAACGCAACACACACACACACACACACACAACAATTACAAAAACCATACACGACACCCAAACACAACACGAACCTAACAAGTATAAAAACACGAAGAGTTAATTAATTATATCGTTCTCGTTGACCCCCAGAGCAAGTCAACGCCATGGCCCCAACGACTGACTCGGAGCTCGAACAGATCGACAGGAAACACGCCCAGTTGGCTCGCCTCAGCACCGACCTTGTTGATGCTCTCGGCCTTTACCACCAGGTGAGTTATGGGGGTATTTAACCTAACCTAACTTGACCTAAACCTAGTCTAACTTAACCTAACTTGACCTAATCTATCTTGACCTAAACCTAACCTAACTTGACCTAATCTATCTTGACCTAAACCTAACCTAACTTGACCTAAATCTAGTCTAACTTAACCTAACTTGACCTAATCTATCTTGACCTAAACCTAATCTAACTTAACCTAAACCTAATCTAATCTAACCTAACTTGACCTAAACCTAATCTAACTTGACCTAAACCCAATCTAACCAACCCTAACCTAATCCAACCAGACCCCTAACCTACCTTAACCTAACCCACCCTAACCTAACCAAATCTATGGACAATAATATAGAAACATTTCTTTTTTTAGTTGATGCGAGATCTATCTCCTGGTCTGCCGGGTCACTACCACCTCATAAAGCCCCCAGGTCCCCAGTCTGCACCTGTACCTGGCTTCCCTCCATCAGCAGGACCTGGTCTCCCCCCACAGGTGTAGTACTGATTGTGTTTTATGACCTGACTCGGCCTAACCTAACCTGTGGCGACTTTTTACACACACAGGGCAATAGCATCACCATAATTGCAATTTGGTTTTATTATTTTGTGTATTTGTGTTGGAGTTTTACTAGTAACATATATATATACATTATTATTAGCTTAGAAATGCAGATATTACCTATTAAAACTAGTAAAAAAAAATGCATAATATCCCCATTATACAGCTCCTCCCCAACTTACGACCACCCGCACTTACGACCCGCCTCAGTCGTACCAAAATTTTGTCAAATTACGCATTTTCGAGTCCCGGCGTCGGTACACAGAAAATATTCTTTTGTAATTCACTTTAAAATGGCTGGTAAGCTTAAAAGTGAGAGTTTTGTGGTGATGAGAAGAAAAAGAGACACCTATTTTAGATTTTCTATGTATTATTTAAGCATTTTCGACTTACGACCTGGATTTGGGTCCCTAACCCCGTCATAAGTCGGGGAGGAGCTGTATATGAGTTTTTTTAATTCATACAAAATCACAGTTAACTACAAGATAAACTGTAGACAAACTTTGTATTTGTTAATGATCTTTGAATTATACTGTATACCTATGACAAAACCTCCTTATATCATGTGTACCATCAGTTTAGAGGCATTACAGTGTATCATGAGTAAGATACACTAATGATTCTTATACCGATGATAATCAATCTCTACCTTCTTATTAAACAATCATATAGTTCCTATTTATCTTACCTCGTACCCCAGAACTAAATAAACAACTAAGGCGATTCTATTGTTATTTAAATAGAATGTCCACGGCATTTGTGAGTATGCGTCAGAATCATAATTTGACTGACTTGATGAATTATCTTAGTTCCTCTTCACTAACATCCGTAGATAACATGGTTGTGTCATCCATTGATACTCATATTTCCTGTTGAATCTGATCACCTTCAAACCATTTTATTGTGTACTGTCGTGTTTGAGTTCCCAACCTCAGTCTTCTGCTTGTCACTGTACTGAGTGGTCTGTCTTCTTCCATACTCGTGCTACATAGTTTGTACGCTTAATCTTTTTACCCTAAACTGTTCTACATGGAGGAAGACGCTCGGATTACTATCATTAATGATTTCAATTGGATGCCGATGAATGATAGGTGCATTATTTTGCCTAAACAGACCAAATCTTCCATCATTCACACTGTTATCTCTCCTTCCCCATAGAGAGTACACACAAATGATTCGAATGACAAGATCACCTTAGACTTCTCCATGTCGTGTTTGCGTGAATGATGATGTGTAGTCTCATCCTGTCAAAGTATATATTGCTGGTAAGGCAGAGCAGATGGTCTCTCTAGGGCCTACATATCTACGAGAGTTGTTGCTGTCATCTAAACTGTGGTGGCACCTCTGTAAAGAAGGATCACTAATATATCTGTGTCATTTGCTCTAACATCATTTCCTTGATATGGTTCACAAATCGTGTGTCTGCTTCCTCATACTGACGGCCAAGTTCACAAACACTGATTCTCTTTTTAATTCAAATTTATAACACTTCTTCTAGTGCTAGATAGATATAATGACCATCTAACATTTCTTTGTATGTGTCCTTTTCCCATTCATCTGCAAGGAATTTGAAGAGTGGTGTATTGAATAGTCCAGATGACGGTGTTTGACTAAAGTTTTTTGGCCGTTTGTGTTCAGGGTCAGCAATAACAATGTTGACCTTAGTTGTACCACACATATGTCGTTCATTATCTTGTTCAAGTATCACACACACAGTCCACACGTCTAGCACGAACACACAACTTTGGCAGAAGGACTTAAGCCACCATGCCATAGGTAACAGGGAACCTGACAAAGATCTGATGAGAAACATTCAACCTATAACACAACTGTGGAAGATGGCCCAATGTTTACTTTCAAGTTTGTTTATAATTCCAGACTTTCCTGTTCTATTGACGAGGCTTAATTTCACCAGGTGTCAAGTTAATTAATTGTTAGTTAATGTTAAGTGATATAGTTCTAACCATAACCAGGTAATAATTAATTGAAATTTGACAGGTGTACAATACCCCATGTAATAATAAAGTAACATTTTGCAGGCATATGGTGCTCCTGGCCAGTTCATGCCCTATATGCCACACCCATCTCAAGCAGGTGTCGCGGGGCCACCAATGCCCTACCCAAATATGCTACCATCGACTATGCCCGGAGCAGCACCAGGCATGCCCCCTAACCTGGGCCAGCCTCTACATATCCCGGCTATGCCCGGACCTCAAGTGCCTATGGGTCAAACGATACCCCAACCCGGCGAGTACCCACAGATGCCACCAAATAGGTAAGGTTAGGTTAGGTTGTTGTGTTTTTGGTAGGTTAGGGTAGAGTTATGTTAGGTTAGGGTAGGATTTTTGTTAGGGTAGGCTAGGGTAGGATTAGATTAAGTTTATATTCACCAGGCCATGACCTCATTCCTCATCCCTATACATCTAATAACTTGACCTGACCCCATCTGACCTCCGAAGACGCGAATTATTCAAAAACGCTCTGGAGTTTTGCAGTTTATTTCCCTCGGTGACACCAACACACGTGGGTCATACACCTATCTTGATTTATTTGTGTATATCATCCAGGTGGGGATATAATACAGTACAGTAAGGTCGGGATATATCGCAACTACCAAAATTATAGAGATTTTCCTATACGGCTCCTCCCTGACTTACGACCACCCGGACAAACGACCGCCTCAGTCTTACCAAAATTTTGTCAAATTACATATTTTCGAGTCTCGACGTCAGTAATTGCTCTGTGTACTGACAAAATATTCATTTGTAATTCACTTTAAAATGGTTGGCAAGCTTAAAAGTGAGAGTTTGTGGTGCTGAGAAGAAAAAGAGACAACCATTTTAGATTTTCTATGTATTATTTAAGCATTTTTGACTTAGGACCTGGATTTGGGTCCCTAACCCCGTCATAAGTCGGGGAGGAGCTGTATATAGTGAACATCGTTGGACCCTATCTGGTGATATATCCCGACCCTACTGTACATGATATATTTCAGGTACAAGAGATTATTGATATATTTCACCCTGGAGAGCTTCAAACATTTGGATGGCTATATGAGTGATAACGGTTGGGTGTAAACGGAACTGTCTAGTATGGGCCAATAGTTACCATGTTCTTAACCTAACCTAACCCAATGCTAACCTAACTTAACCTAACCATTTCCTCCGTTCTTATGTTGTTCTTTATATTTCAGCCACGACGGATCGGCGGGTAATATCGTCCCCGGGTATGGCCATTTCCCACCAAGTCAGTATGGCCCATCGGCTCACCCCAGTGGCCCACCGGATCCTGCTAATGTCCCTCCGAATGTATACCCTGTTTGTCGTAAGGTCCAACAGCCTCTGCTATAGACCTTTGGAGTGTCTCTCTCTCTGTCTCTCTCTCAAGATTTTTTTATATATTTTCTCAACTCTCTATTTCTCTCTCTCTCATTATATCTTTACGACTGTCTCTCTCTCTCTCTGTATCTCTCTCTCTCTCGATATGGCTTTCAGATATTTAATTCCTTCTTCTCTTCAACCATCATCTGTGCTCTAACTATCAGATAGCCCAATGGTCACTTTCTGTACAGGGTGTGTCATAAGCATATTTCGCCTGAAGATTAGACACCCTTATGTAAATCTACTTTAAACCTAACTTAATGTACCACAACACCAACCTAACCTAACCCAACCAAACCCAAACCTAACCTATCCAACAGATCAAATATGCTAGGGTATTTGCCACAACGTAAACACAACTACCCTGAAGAGAAGGAAATGTGGTAGATGGGGCATTTTGTCTTCACCCCCTTTGGCTTCACCCCCTTTGTCTTCACCCCCTTTGGCTTCACCCCCTTTGGCTTCAGCTAGAGTAAAGTCAAATAGTAGGCCTTTCAACCTTACCTGCGGGGGGGATATATTTGTTAAGTGACAGGTAGAGATTTTTGTTTTTAGGCCTAAGGAGTAATTGTTTTTTTGTCTTATTAAGCGACAAGTTGATATTTTTCTAGGCCTAAGGAGTAATATTTTTGTCTGTTATTAAATGGCAAGTGGATATTATGTCTGTAGGCCTAAAGAGTAACATTTCAGTTATTAAACAAGTAGTCATTAGTATTGTTTCTATAGGCCTAGGGAGTAATATTTCACTCTTATTTAGACTACAATTAGACATTATGATTTATATAGGCCTACACAGTCATTTTCCTGTGTTATTATTTCTATAGGCCTAGGTAACAAACTCCTTCAGCTTGTGCTATCAATAAATACCAATTTGTATAGAACTAAATAATTTGTATATTGAAGGTGTATTGGTGATGTAATTTTAATAGCTTTCAGAGAGGGACAATGTTCGTGTGTAGTGTTTATAGTTACGGCCGTTCTAGTTGTTTATATAGATGTGTATGGGGGTTTAAAATTGCCATGAGCCAATTTATATAGATTTGTATTGGGTTAAGTCCCCCTTAGCTCATTGCTCTGTTAAGTCTCTAATGTGTATAGAGTATTTTCAAATGGATTAGTATAGTTATTTTGTCAATTTTATTTCATATTTATATTGGATTTCTCTTCTTTTCTTTAGTCATATACATTTTTGGGTTGAATTCGTTTTTTATATAAATTTTTGGGTTGAATTCGTTTTTTATATAAATTTTTGGGTTGAATTCAATTTCTTATATAAATTTTTGCGGTGAATTAATTTCTACAGTATTATGATTCTTGGATTGAATTCATTTTTTATATTATTTTTGGGGGTTGAATTCAATTTCTTATATACATTTTTGGCTTGAATTCAATTTGATTATATGATTTTTTTGATCGATAAATAATTTTATATTTGAGAAATGTTAAAAAACTTCATGTATTTCCCATTAATTTACAAGGAGACCAATTGACATATATTTTATAAGGCTTGTTCAGTATAATCTATACATACATTATATTATAGAACACTGACAGAAACTCTACTCAATGACCTATGTTTCCCTGAGGATAATGTCTCGGGTGCCCGTTCACAGCTGGGTGGACCAGGGGCACCTCGGGATTGAACCACTGCTTCTCAGGTTCCATAGGCTGGGCACTCCTAGTTGACCCAGGTGTCCATTGGTACAGGATTTTTGGTTTATTATTTATCCATGCAGCGAAACCTCTATTTAATGGACTATATAGAGATGAAAGTCCATTATATCAAGGGTCCGTTAGATGTGAAACCTCCATCTAACGAACTATATAGAGATGAAAGTCCATTATATCAAGGGTCCGTTAGATGTGAAACCTCCATCTAATGAACTATATAGAGATGAAAGTCCATTATATCAAGGGTCCGTTAGATGTGAAACCTCCATCTAATGAACTATATAGAGATGAAAGTCCATTATATCAAGGGTCCGTTAGATGTGAAACCTCCATCTAATGAACTATATAGAGATGAAAGTCCATTATATCAAGGGTCCGTTAGATGTGAAACCTCCATCTAATGAACTATATAGAGATGAAAGTCCATTATATCAAGGGTCCGTTAGATGTGAAACCTCCATCTAATGAACTATATAGAGATGAAAGTCCATTATATCAAGGGTCCATTAGATGTGAAACCTCCATCTAACGAACTATATAGAAATGAAAGTCCATTATATCAAGGGTCCGTTAGATGTGAAACCTCCATCTAATGAACTATATAGAGATGAAAGTCCATTATATCAAGGGTCCATTAGATGTGAAACCTCCATCTAACGAACTATATAGAAATGAAAGTCCATTATATCGAGGGTCCGTTAGATGTGAAACCTCCATCTAATGAACTATATAGAGATGAAAGTCCATTATATCAAGGGTCCGTTAGATGTGAAACCTCCATCTAATGAACTATATAGAGATGAAAGTCCATTATATCGAGGTTACACTAAACTTATATATATTTCATTATATTACACGTATATTATAAAGGAAAGAATTAGACTATGTATAATGCGTTTACAATATGTACTAATTCACTCTACTGTCTGTAACATGTACTATATCTTGCAGTTCTCTCTGTTACATGATTCATGCAGCTGTACCAAGTGGCTGTACTATATTAATAAACTTAAACATATTGTATAATTTAACTGTTAATAATCCCCTTTAGTATTATATTATTTAACAAACATTGAATGAAAAATATATAATTTGATAATTTATGATTTAGTTATGGATATTTTTACAGAAGTTACTCTGATCTGATTAATGACTTGTAGTTGGGACTGTATTTGACAACCTTCTCTTCTTCAACTAATGTTAAGTACCTGTCAAGAGGATGTGGTTGTTTGAGACGATCCAATATATAGTGATGACTCGAGCAATACCACCAAACAGGTAGAAGAAAGAGTCAGGCCTCCTGTTGAAACAAGAATCTGACTAAGATACCATTGATTGATCTGTCCACTCTCAATGTGGTCGCCTCGTTTAAGTTTATACCTCTATATGAAGTGTGATCCAAGAGTTCCCGGTCTGGCTTCATATTACAGAGAAACTTTAGTCACCCTTCAAATACTCACTAGAGTCTTCAATGCAGTCCTAGATCACCACTCCATCCATGATCTTCCCCTTGAGGTATAACTATATCTTGGAGAACAGCCAGAACTCACAGGGGCCTGATCTGGAGGGTGATGGGGGGGGCCTCTGGTATGTTGTGTTTCACCAGACAATTATTCAGAGGAGAGAGTGCGTGCAGGTGGATTGTCCTAGTGAAGCAGCCAATTACCAGTCCTCTACAGTAATCTACACTACTCTACTCTACTCTACTGTATTCTCTTCTACTCTACATTAATTTCGTTTATTATTCACAGGTTGAAGGGTTAAAAGTTGGTACCATAGGCCTGATTGTCTATTAGGGGCAGTGTGGATACAGCAGACTGTAGACCAAGCCATTTTCTGGTGCACAAGGAGACAGTGTGACTGGCATGACCTAAGGCAAAATATTTTGTTTCAGATACTGTGATGTCTCATCTCAAGACCAAGTGTAACTATTGTAAGTAGACGTTCACAATGTCAAGCAGAGATAAAAAGTTCTCCTGTGAGGAATGTGGGAAACAGTTTGCACAATAGAATTATATCAAGGCTGTACATTACCAACTGTGATGTACTAACATGTACTGTACATTACCAACTGTGATGTACTAACATGTACTGTACATTACCAACTGTGATGTACTAACATGTACTGTACATTACCATCTGTGATGTACTAACATGTACTGTACATTACCAACTGTGATGTACTAACATGTACTGTACATTACCAACTGTGATGTACTAACATGTACTGTACATTACCAACTGTGATGTACTAACATGTACTGTACATTACCAACTGTGATGTACTAACATGTACTGTACATTACCAACTGTGATGTACTAACATGTACTGTACATTACCAACTGTGATGTACTAACATGTACTGTACATTACCAACTGTGATGTACTAACATGTACTGTACATTACCAACTGTGATGTACTGTACTGTCAGATGCTACTAGGTACATCCCAAGGGCTCTGTGTAATATATAATGTATGTTCTTATGGTAATGTATAACATACATTCATGTTATGCTAATCTGTGTAATTTGTTGTATATAGTGAGTTGTTGTATATAATACATAATGGTGGTTGGGTGTGAAGTTGGCTTCTTGTACAAGGTGTTCCAAACTTGGGGTCTTGTGATGTTACTCCAATTATTAACTTATATGTTAATGTTAATTGAAGTAGTTTGAGGTGTCTACTTAATTGTCTTTTATTGTAACTTGTTGTAATTGTTTCATTACTAATTTGTGAATTAATGTAACTGTGATGTTATTAGCCACAATGCTTGGTGGGAGAGTTGAGGAGGGAATGAAGGTAGAGAGAACCGGGAGGACTCACTGTAGACCAGACCTGTGTGTCTCGCTGCTTCACACAACTCAGTTGAGTTTAGGTCTGTGTGGATGGTCTTTGTCTGTGTGGATCTATCCTGTGAATCTACCTTGTAAATAATAATTGTACCAAGTACAGAAAGCAGGAGTTGGTGGCTATCCTTTGTCTTCCAGCACTGGTCCCCGTGAACACTTGACATGCACTGACAACTGTAATAGGCCTCATGGGTTACTTGTTAGTGCTGTCAACTACAAACCCATAAGACACAGGTTCAGTGTTGTGGCCAGGCAGGGTTTGTGGGTCATTATCTTGTGGTGGTCTACACATAATATATGTAATATTACCTTTAATAAAAACATTAAATGATCAAATATATACTTGGCTGCTCACTAATGGAAGAATGAGAAGATGCTGTCATTTAAAACATATAAAATTAAGATAAATTGTTCAAAGGTTAATGTAAATTTTATATCAATATTGTTAATAAAATGTTTGTTATAATTTTGTTTTATTATTCACATGAAATTATTAGGAGGAAAAATAGTTCCTTTAAGATTGACTTATATGTATGAGAGTAATATTTATCTGTCTGTCTTCTTTATTTATCTAACATATTTATGTGGGGTGGATTATGGGGTACAGAAACCTCTCCCATATTTATGGGGGGTGGATTATGGAGTACAGAAACCTCTCCCATATTTATGTGGGGTGGATTATGGGGTACAGAAACCTCTCCCATATTTATGGGGGTGGATTATGGGGTACAGAAACCTCTCCCATATTTATGTGGGGTGGATTATGGGGTACAGAAACCTCTCCCATATTTATGTGGGGTGGATTATGGGGTACAGAAACCTTTCCCATATTTATAGGGGGTGGATTATTTGGTACAGAAACCTTTCCCATATTTATGTGGGGTGGATTAAGGGGTACAGAAACCTCTCCCATATTTATAGGGGTGGATAAAGGGGTACAGAAACCTCTCCCATATTTATGTGGGGTGGATTATGGGGTACAGAAACCTCTCCCATATTTATGGGGGGTGGATTATGGGGTACAGAAACCTCTCCCATATTTATGTGGGGTGGATTATGGGGTACAGAAACCTCTCCCATATTTATGTGGGGTGGATTATGGGGTACAGAAACCTCTCCCATATTTATGGGGGGTGGATTATGGGGTACAGAAACCTCTCCCATATTTATGTCGGGTGGATTATAGGGTACAGAAACCTCTCCCATATTTATGTGGGGTGGATTATGGGGTACAGAAACCTCTCCCATATTTATGGGGGTGGATTATGGGGTACAGAAACCTCTCCCATATTTATGATGGGTGGATTATGGGGTACAGAAACCTCTCCCATATTTATGGGGGGTGGATTATGGGGTACAGAAACCTCTCCCATATTTATGTGGGGTGGATTATGGGGTACAGAAACCTCTCCCATATTTATGTGGGGTGGATTATGGGGTACAGAAACCTCTCCCATATTTATGTGGGGTGGATTGGGGTACAGAAACCTCTCCCATATTTATGTGGGGTGGATAATGGGGTACAAAAGGTGCCATATTTATTATAATAAAATGTAAAACATTAAATATTTCCATTTAATGATCATTCATTACTTATAATGTAAGTTTCATAAACCACCTATCAATATCTTATTTAGTAATGGTTTACACAGTTGATTTAGTCCAAGTAAACTATTTTATACCTTACGTGATGTATCATGTTGAGGAGCACGTCTTCTATGAGGGTCAATAAACAGTAATAGTTTACCCTCAAATACTAAAAGTTTTCTTTGGTAAGTTAGTCATTCAGTCACCAGGCGGCACTACGGGTCAACCTGTGGTGACTAATAGTGGAGAGTTGTTCTTCCTTATTGGATATTCCTTGACAACAACAACAACACGCTTCACCATCTTGTATACTTCCGTCAATTTTCTCGTAAAACAGTTTATTTCTCCTCCTCCTGGACATTACAGCAAGTGTTTGGTGAGTTATTAAGAGTGCAGGTGTGTTATATGACCTTGTTTACCTTAACTATGTGTAGTGAACGTGGAGGAGTTATGGATTAGTTACACCTGTACTTACAAGAAGAAAATGGAATTTATTTAGTTTGTGCATTATTATTATTACTTATTATTATCCTATTGTACTTCTCAGTGTTATATATTTGTATTATTAGAGGAGTTTTCACTATTTGGTTGATGTACCTGGACTTAAGGCAAAAGTGTTCAATGTATGTCAGAAGATAACTTGTAGGTAAGCAGTGAGTGTGGTGTCAGGGTGTTATCACGTTACTGGTAAGTCAAGTTATTTAATC